ACCACTAACAACAACAACAACAACAACAACAACAACACCTTTCACCAACAGCAACAGCAACAGCAACAGCAACAGCAACAGCAACAGCAACAGCAACAGCTACAGCTACAGCTCCAGCTACAGCTACAGCTACAGCTACAGCTACAGCTACAGCTACAGCTACAGCTACAGCAGCAACAAACAGAAGACGACCAACACCAATAACGACAACAACAGGAACACCCACAGCAACAGCAAGAGCAACAGCAGCAGCAATAGCAACAGCAGCAGCAATAGCAACAGCAGCAACGACGGCAACAGCGAGAGCGACAGCGACAGTGACAGCCACAACAACAGCAGCATCAAGAGCAAAGACAACAACAGCAACCCTTGCAACACCGACAGCCACAACAACAGCAACAACAACAGCAACAACGGCAATAACAGCGACAATAACAACAGCCACAACAACACCACCATCAACAACATCAGCCATAAATTTGTGGTAATAGTATCAGCAACAATAAACATGATAGTCACAGTAACAGCTATACATGTGTCTAGGAATACTTGTAATACTAGTGATAATTGTCATAATTCGTAATCGAGTAGTAAACGGGTAATCTTGCTGCGACAGTGAAGTTTCCGTTTGTGATCCCTAGACCGTTTCCTGTGCCGCCAGCTCTTCGAGTGTCACTTGGCTCTCGAGACCGAGCAGAAGAGCCAATATCGCAGGCTGGCTGCTTTTCTTTGTTTATGACTGTCTATATTAGATGATTGTATATTATGGTACATTATGGTATACTATAGTAGTTTTATGGTATATGCGTCCTGGTTCTTGGTAGGGAATGGAGGAATGGATCCTGTGATAGTCTCTTGCAGTGGTCCCTGTAACCTACTAAGAACCTGGGAGTTCTTCTTTGTGGGCCATGTCGATCAGTGGATCCTTTCACAGTTGACAGTTGGCAATTTCCCTACAACCTTTTCCCAAAACCCCAAACCCTAAACCCCTAGGCCCCTAAACCCTAAACCCCAAACCCTAAACCCCTAGGCCCCTAAACCCCAAACCCCAAGCCCCAAAACCGCTAAACCCTAAACCCTAACCCCTAAACCCCTAAACCCCAAACCCCAAGCCCCAAGCCCCAAAACCTCTAACCCGAAAAACCCTAAACCCCACACCCCAAGCCCCAAAACCCCTAAACCCCTAAACCCTAAACCCCAAGCCCCAAACCCCTAAACCCTAAACCCTAAACCCTAAACCCCTGGGAAGGTTCAGAGACAGAATGGATCAGGAAACAGTGGAAGCACTGCAGGCCGGCTCGTCAGTCTGGCAGCCCCAGTTTGGGTTCGGTGGGTTCGGGTTTAGGGTGCAGGGTTTAGGGTTTAGGGTTTAGGGATTAGGGTTTAGGGTTTAGGGTTTAGGGTTTGGGGTTTAGGGTTTAGGGCTTTGGGTTTGGGGTTTAGCTAGGGTTCCCACAGCAAAGCTCGGATTCCGAGGATCACTACAGGGAAGCCCGAAAAGACGAGAGGCCGGCTTCCGAGGAGTTTGAGTGCAACCTTCAAGTGCCAAAGGCAGAGATCAGACGTGCACAGTTGAGTGTTAAAGAGGCGTCGTTTTTTTTCTCAGGCGGTGTTCGGACAAGCACCGTAGCGATGTGGCCTCCGTGCTGAAATCCTTGGTAGCGGGCTCGGTGAGTGCTGCGTTGCCTTATCTGTGCACTTCCCTAAACCCTAAAAGCCTTAAAAGCCCTAAACCCTAAAAGCCCTAAAAGCCCCAAAAGCCCCAAAAGCCCTAAAAGCCCTAAAAGCCCCAAAAGCCCCAAAAGCCTTAAAAGCCCTAAAAGCCTTAAAAGCCCCAAAAGCCCTAAAAGCCCGAAAAGCCCGAAAAGCCCTAAAAGCCTTAAAAGCCCTAAAAAGCCCTAAACCCTAAACCCTCTTGGCCTTAGAAGCTCTGTCAGGTCGAGGGTTCCGTGCACGTGAACCACCGGACAAGCTGTGGCTTGGCAAGGGTTTGGCTAAACCCTAAACCCCTAAAC